AGTACGGTATCTTTTCAGCCTTTACCACTGTATCAAAGTTGGTTGGCCAACCACTTCTGCAAGGGGAAGAAAGACAGCAGCAAGAAGTGAGGCTGAAATTCCAGAAACCTTAGAAAAGTTGAATTAAGTATTCCATATAGTTGGTTAGGTCCTTAGACAAGGCCATTCTCTGAATTCTTCTTCTTTCTAAAGGAATTGATTCTTATAGACTCTCCTTGCTGAATATATTGTAGAATAGATGTCAGATTAGCTATTAGCAAGTAGAAATTGCCTTTTTTAAAAATAATAATATTATTATTATTGTTTTAGTGAAGGAATCCACTATCTGTTCAATGACGAGGATACAAGCAAACTTCTTTCTGTAGTAGGCATGTCATGACTAGAAGTAACTTTAACAGGAATGTGTCAATACATTGCTAAAGCTTGCAAGCAAATGCAGGCATCCAGAGAAAACACAGGATGAAATTTGTGCTTCTAAATCTTGCTCGTGCCGCATGGCCTAGCTGGGATGGGGAAACACTGGATGTGCTGGGCACCCGTGATGGGGACAGTCTTGAGACAAGCACAGTTTTCTGAATATTAAAGTGTATTTCCCAGTTCCCAGTCTGACACTCAGCTGCCCTCCATGCAGGGGGAGGAAGGCAAGCACTTTGGAAAATGCAGCTGCCTTAAGTGCTTAAATGACAGCTCCTCTGACTTCGACAGCTGGACTATCATGTATGTCATTATGTTTAAAATTAGTGGTTGGGAAAGAATTACGAGGCAAAAAAAGAGAGATTAGTTCAGATAAATTAAATATAGAGCAAACTTCTTTCCAGTCAGTTCAGACTCTTCAGGGAATTGCCTCACCTAAAAGGATGTCTTCCAGATTCCTTCCCACTTATCTTCCTTATGAGATAGTTTTCCTCCCCCAGGAGGAAAGCATGTCTTTGTGGCTCGGGCCATCAAGAATATCCTTCTTCTGTGTGTGGCCCAAATGGCCTTTTTGCCTTGTAACTTAACACCTGCTTTTATTCATTGTGAAATGATTTCAAATGTTTTTTTAGTAAATGTGACAGGCAGTGTATTATGCACTGTCGTCTTTTATTTACTCCCATAAAGCATTATGGAATACAGTTAGTATGTGACATTCAGGATACTGTGTAATACTTCATTACATTGCATTGCAACATGGGACAGTTCTCTGCCTTGAAAGACACACTGCCTTTTCCTTTGCTTATACCTTTTTTCAAGTTTTTTTTATCCTGACTTTCCCCTTGCCTAGTGTGTGATTTCCATGACTTCCCCCAGTGTATCTGATGAGGGCAATGCTTGTCTGCTTGGAAAAGTCTTATTTTAGTCCCATATCTTTGTTGATACAAGAAGTACAGGAGTTGCTTACATCTCCTCAAGCTGTTTCCCAGATGCTTGATGATTCATGAGAGGCCAACCTCGTGAGAGCGAGTTTATGTTGACTGTGTTCCTGTGTCTTCTAAGCCAGATAACTCTGTGAAATCCCAGTGAAAATCCCCTTAGAAAATTACAGCATATTTGGTTCCAGTGCAGGCCACACCACTTCAGGTCGTAATCTAGCACAAAGTGAGGGAGGTGAAAGGGAATCCAGCTCCTGAAGAGTCTACTCCAGTGTCAAGTGAAGGCACTGAGTAGCTTCAGGTTTCATCTCATGTGGGCTATAGAAACCGTATTTATGGCTTTTCTCATGAAACATATGTTCTTCCCTTGTGGAAAAGGCATATCCTCAGAGTGCAATATTTGGATATCTCTTACTTTACTATAGTGAGAATTTCCTTCCCGTGATTCTCTCCAACCTTTCCTCTATGATAACTTTATAATTCCTGTATTACAATTATAGAAATAATAAGTTATTGTCCTTTGATTTTTAAGCTTTTTAACATGTGCAACTCTATTGCTTCATGTACCTGTTCAACTCAGATACTGCAGAGCTGCTCCAGCCATGACATTTCATCATTAGTCTTGGTCAGGTGCGATTGACTCCCTGGCAGAGCAGCACAGTCTGTGAAATTCAGAGTTTAAGTTAAATTAAGAGCCATCACAGACCCTATCTTCTTGGTGTACAAGAGTGCAGTAGTGTGCATTCTCAGCTGGTGTGCTGAGTTAAGTGCACAGATGTTTTGTTTGGGGATATATGTATGAGCACATTTTAGAGATACTGTCCACCAGAATCTCAGCAGGGTAAAGCCTGTGCGAGGACTGTCTGGGAAAAGGAAACCTTTCCCTCAGAAGCATGAATCACATTGACCTACACAGTGAAATCCAAGGTGATAGAGGGAAAATGGCAAGAGTTTCCTGTCCAAGAAAGAAGAGTAAAGAACTCTGAGGCATAGGATGAGTTATGCCATGTTTTACTGCAGTAACTTTTGTTCTGACTTAGGGAATGGTTGCTTCACTAAAAACTGCGGAATTTGTTATCATCAAAACTGTTTTATTTTTATCCCTTTTCTTGGACATTTTGCACATAGTCCTGTGAAATATCTTTTCCTCTCGGTGGACTGGGTGTTTTTAAAGTCCAAAGGTCCTCCGCATTTTAGTAGGAACTCAGTAGTGTTGGCTGGACATTTTGTTTCATTCCAAATTAGGAGGGAAAAACCCCACAGTTGTCTTTTTCATTTTTTTTTAGAATAAAATAAAATGAAAAACAGATTCCAGCATAGATGTCCCTGATGAAAATTGCAACAAAATTAATAGGTGGGTGGTCTTTATTTTCACCAAATTGTCACTTTTCCAATGCAAATTATTTGATCAAAATAGAACAAAACAAAACTGGGTAGGTCTGCACTTTGTGAGCTAGGTCTGTATTTGCTTAGAAAGGGTGGCTCAGTGTGAAAGCATCTTAGAATGATGTTACAATTAGGTCTTTGGAGATAGTTTTACAGGAAACGAAGACTTTTATCATCTAAGTTTCAGGTTGTTTGGAGGCTAGAATTATTGCCCTGTCAGAAGAGTACAATGAACTGCTGACATGCAACCACGCTTTGCTTACAGCTGCGTGCAGGGAAGTATTTACAGCAAGGAACCAGTGAAAAGCAACCTGAAAAAATAGATGTACTTACTATGAAGTTTGTACCATTTCTCTGGTTTCCTGTTTTTAATGAGTGTTTTATGAAAAAAATATATTTATTTTATATGAAGAACTTGGAAAACTTCAGTCAAATGTTAGATTTTATTTTAAGAGTGAAAACTTAGATTACTGTGTGTGACAGATGGCTGCCACTGGTTGCTTACTTTGGTTTTGTATTTCCAACATTCACAGAGTAACTTGGTGGGAGATACTTTTCCCCTGTTTGCTCTTCCTCATCAGCCAAATTCAGGAGAAGGCACCAATTTTCTATTTCTGTTGCTTGTAGTGGAACTAGAGGTTGATCTGGCATTCAGCGGCGGACTAGAGTGATATTCAGTTCAAGATAAAGACACCAGAGTTTAAGTGTTTACATGAAAGCAGTGTCCAAGTTCATGTATTAAGTAGAAATTTGGTCAATGCAGTTGGGTAACTGATTGTGTGTAACTCCTACAGTCTGTGTTGAGAAGGGGCTCAGATTGCCCACATTCAGGTGACTTTGTGAGACACTACGGCTTCCATTGGACCTTTGCTGGGGGCTGCTGGATGTGCTGCTGGACGTGCTGCTGGACCTCCTTGTCCTCATGGAGGCCAGACAGGAAAATGTACTATGTCTTAAAGGTGGTTAGGCATCTCTCTGCGAGTGACTGAACTGAGCCCTAGATTTCCACACATCACCTAGGGAAGGAACACAGATAGCTGTCCCACTGGTGGAGGCTCAGAGCTGAGTGTCTTGGCTTCCCAGGGAAGTGGTCACAGCACCAAGCCTGACAGAGTTTAAGAAGCATTTGGACAATACTCTCAGGCACATGGTGTGACTCTTGGGAATGGTCCTGTGCAGGGCTAAGAGTTGGACTCGATGATCCGATCCCTGTGGGACTCTTCCACAGTTTATTCTGTGATTCTGTGATTCCATGACTGGGAACTGAAACCTGCTGTGATCCGCATGTTGTCTTGGAGCCTTCTGATCCTCAAAATTTCCCACACTGAAGTTGTCGAGGCACAGAAAAATGGTTGTTTGCAGTTCTTTGATGCTGGGAGCCAAATTCTAGTATCAGAAACAGTTGGACAATGCAAGTGCATGGTGCAACTGAGAAGGCATTTTGACTTTTAGAGAGCTGGGTCTGGCCACAGTTCCTGTTATCCTTGGAGTCAGGGATTTACAGCAGCAGAGGCTTTACCTCAGTAGAGGTAAAACTTTAGGAACAATTGAATAATTACTCAGGCAGAAGCTGTGAAATTTTAATTAAATAAAGACTTGGCTATTTGTCTTGAAGTTACTCGCTAAGGTGGTTGTTGGGACAGAATCTGACCTCAGTTACATCAGTATAAGCATGGAATAGCTGGCTGTGTTAATCATCCATTAGCAGCAAATGATTCACACCATATAAATAAAATGAAAACGTGACCTAACAAATGTTTTTGGGAGGAAATACTTAAGCACAGTAAACAAACTTAAATTCACTCATATGCACTTTCCTGCGGCTCTTTATTGATGCTTTTGTTCAGAGGGCATTTCTCCCCAGAGCACCAAATTTGGGAAGCAGAGTTGTTTGTCTTTTTTACTTCAGTCTGTCTTACTTCATTGTTCTCAAACTTGCAGCTTTTATTAAAGTTTAATTCTGTTTTAAAATCAAAATGGTGAGAATGAAATTATATAATCAATATAAATGTAAAAATAATGATATATTTCTTGTAAAATAAAGAGTCCGTATACCTGAGTTCTGTTGTTCTTACTGTTTATACGGGATTGAATTAAGAGAAAATACACTGTACTTCCTATCTAATGAAACTGCTTCTAGACCCAACTTTTTAAAGACTTTAAATGCAAATAATTTTTGCTGTGTTATATAACCTGTTGTGTTTTTTGCCTTCCTGTAACTGGAACAACATACTAATTTCTACAAGTTGTGACTACTAACAGAGAGCAATCACCTCACAGACTTGTACCGAAAAGAAGAGACCATCAGCGTGGCAGGGAATGGCTGCATCCACAGTCCTCGCTTCCCCAGCAGCTACCCCAGGAACCTCCTACTGACGTGGCGGCTCCACTCCCCAGAGAGCACCAGGATCCATCTGGCTTTTGATAATCAGTTTGGACTGGAGGAACCTGAAAATGATATCTGCAGGTGAGTGGCAAGTGAAGTTTGCAAAGGTCTCCTTAATACCACCTTCAAGCTCACTGGCATGAGACCGCAGACCAAAACCTGGGCATCTCTGGCCAGGTCTAGGTTGTCCTTGCATGAAGGACAGACCTCCAAGTATCCCCTTTTGACTGAAATTGGTTTTTAAGTTTATAAATAAACTGAACTTTCCTGGACCTGAAGCAGTTTTGGCAGGTTTTAATCCTTCTATAATATTTTAAGCACAAGGTACTTGTATGCTCAAATCCAACAACCTAACAACATAGATACTACTTTAATAGGATTTTGTCCTCTATCACCTCTGTCATGTTTCAGCCAGACAAAAAACATCTTTTTCAGTAGGTGGAAGGCTCTGGGAGGTGTGAGTAAATAGGTAAGTGTTTATATTGGGGTATGAGGAACAAATAAAAATGCATTAAAAAAATATAGGTATGTTCTTCAAATTACTTACTTGTCTTTATTGTTACTCTTCACTGGTACAGTTTCTTTTAAAACCTTTAAATATAGTCCACAAACATCAGTGTACTGATGCATACTTATATATTTATTTATCTATTTATGTGTACTCTACTATATCCCAGTTGCTTTGGTTCCCCTTTTAAGCAAAAGTGACCTTAAGCTCAGTTGATCTGGCTGATTAACCTAGGTGGATAAACTGCTTGGCATTAGCAGAGTACAGAGGTGAACCTTGCTAAAATTCACTAAAATACTGTAAATCTATTGAGTTTTTGTTTATATTTCTTTTATTTGTCTATCTGTTCTGTGGGAGAGAGCAGTCTCGGGATTCCTGTGTGCTCCAAAAGGCAGATTGCTGTGATGCTACTCACATAAAATGCTCAAGTCTCAGTTTCCAACTCTACCTGATCATGTTGTTACTTACAGCTTATCTGTGTAGAGAACTGGGTTGTTAGGGTTTCTGCACATCCAGCCTCTTCTTATCTTATCTTCTTTGTCAATCAATTTGTGTTCATTGGGTTTGACAGTTCTGCAGGGGTTTTACAGGGTGTATTTTTTTCCCTCTTTTTTCTTTGTTAGATTTTCTGCATCACCAATAAAGAGTACCATTCCTGCAGGTTTGGTTTTGATTTAGTAATAAAAGAATGCAGCCTAAAACTGGCTCTCCTTCCCTGTTCCTTGGCAGGTCTGCTATGCTCTGGTGCTATTGGTCCAAGATCAGCAGCGGAGTCAGTAACAATAGTTACCTCCCAGTACCCCAAATGCTTTCCCAGATTCAGAGCCTAATGCACGCAGAAGCAGCCTGTTAATATTTACATAGTGGATAAACTGTGGCTGACCTTAAGGCATTGCAACTTTGAAACAGAGGGCCAATTTACTGTGGAAAAAAAGATGAAGTGTTCTCTGTCAAAAGCCAGTAAAGGTGGTGGCACAGAGAGGGAAAGTCAAGCTGTTGCTGGCATTATGGATTTGGAGACCATCTTGGAAGACAGTCTACCTGCTTTTTCCAGAGCAGTTAATTTAGGATGCAGAGAGAAGCCAAGACCTTAAATCATCAAAATTGTCTATAGAAGCTGGAGAAATATCACATCCTTTTCTGCAATAAAGCTTTCCCTAGTTTCTGGAAGACCTTTATTTCGGTAGTATTACTTCCAGAGTGAGGAATTTCTTGGACAGACAGCTTGTGATGTCTTTAAACCTATTAAGTACTGTGTGCAGTTAGATTTTTTGCTAATGCTCAATATATTTTTCAACACTAGATCCTTTCTGCAACTTCAGTCCCTGACAATCCCTGCAGTGCTGCTTTAGAGAGACAGCCAGGCATGTTTTAATTGAAATGAATGCTTAGAGCTGAGCATATGCTTGAAGGCAGTGCATACTGGACAAGTAATTCAGGACCTCTGCACATTACCTTGCTTTTGTATTTGCTTTTGACCTTATGCTTTTTTTCTCCAGAAACATCCTAGTGTTTTCTTTCAATTTTTCATTAATGCTAATTATTGTAATTTGCATACTATTAAGACTGAACTGATTGAAATTCATTCAGGCTGAAGAATGAAAAGGTATATTTTAGCAGAGCTATATTTCTTCTGAGCTTCTGAAGAAGGAGGGCAAATATTCAAGGTTTTATGGAATTTTCTAGAAGTGCTGTTAGCATTTCCACAGGCACTTGATAAGAGATGATTCTGAAAAGCAATTAAATTACCCAGCCTCTGAGGCTCCTTGGATGCACAGAGAATATACCTACTTCCATGATTGTTGCACCAAAGCCTCTGTTGTTGAAAGCAGAAATAATCCTTAAAAGTCCATGGATTTTCACTGGTTTTGCTACCAGTTATTCTGGCTTCTGGCCTCAAAGAGTGGGTGGGCCAGTCAGGACAGCTTTCACCAAAGCTTACAAGGTTATCTCATAGTGAACACTGCAACCCCCTATGTTACAATAGGCATTCACGGCTGCCTTGCTGCCTGGGGGGCAATGGTGGATGCTCTTGTGGGCAGCACAGAGCTCTGCTGGTACAACATCCATCACCATGAGGGAGTGGGAGCTGAGGATGGGATGGGGGAAGAGATTGAGACAAGTCTACCTCCCCCTGGAACTAAATTTTGGCGTGTTACAAAAAAAGAATATTTCAGCAGAGTTTGGGCAGATGGAAGTGATTTGGTCATGGTGAATCTGTTATTTTCTGTTCTGTGCAATTTGGGATTGGTGAAAATAAAAGAAACAGTGCTGATATTCTCAAACCACATAGTACTTGTGGGTTTTTTCTCATGGGCTCTCAGCAGAAAAGAAAAGCAGGTCTGTTATTTACAGCTCCCACAACCGGGCAGGGAGGAGGGTGCTTGGCCCACAGGCCCAGGGCAGGGAGGAGCGCATTGCTAGCAAGAATTGGTTAACAGTCTTAAACTCCCTCTTTGAGGGAGGCGCTCTGATAATAGAAAGCTTTCCTGGTAAAGATCCCCAAAGTTTTGAGGCTCAATTGCACCATGAGGATGGCACCCAACCTGCCCCTCTTGTCATCACCTCTCTCTCTCCGGCTGCAATGTGTGGAGCCTAATTCTGACTTCACTGATACTGAGAAACTGTTTTTGTCACAGATGTAGTAAAATCAGAACTTTATTCTCTGCCTTCTTTATTCTCCAGATCAATAAATGAATTCAATAAATGACCCAAACGAGTGAATACAAATGCTGGGGCAACGAGTGCTGCTACTGTATCCCCTTATTGCTAGGGGTTAATGCCTGCTGCTCCTGTCAGATCCCTCTTTGGGCTCAGGGTGCCACTGTTGTGCCCCAGGTGCCTTGCTAACTTGTGACCTTGCACAGGACAAGACATGCTGTTGCATTTTCCCTGGTGACAGCATCCATGTGAACAACAGAGTCCCCACCACAGCACACAGGGAGCCAGCATACTTTTCTGCTTGAAAGCTTGATATAAGTCTTTCCAAACCACCTACAGGAGCGCTGTGCCACCTACAAGGAAGGTGCTAAAAAGCACCTTTCAGCAGCGTGCACTACCCTGTGTCCTTCCAGCATCTCCCTTTGCTCCTGGCACAGTGGCCACACAGCTCCAACCCTGTGACTGACACAGCAGGCGGGATCCTTGTCTGCTGCTGTAGGGATTTGGGTGACCACCAGAAAGTACACAAGTGGTTGCAGCTGCTCAGCTTGGGCAGCCTGCCTTAAATAATATTTTATCAGGTTTCTAAATTATTTACCCACCACATGAAACACAATGCGTATGCTTACTGTATACTAAGCACATGCAAGTGCCTCTCATTGCTATTTTAATGTGTTAGAAAATACTGTCTGTCATGTTCCAGGAGCCCAGAAATCACTCATTTGAATACTCAGGCAGTAGCTTTCAGCTTAGTGTATTTTGTGCTGCACAAGCATGCCCACCATTTGTAATATTTAGTCTGATGTTTTGGAGTGGAGAACAGGGGACAGTTGTCTTTGTGTCTCCAGTTGTGCTCCTTCCCATTAATTTGCAACCACCCTCTGTAACCAGAGTTAGCAAAAACTAATTATTCCTACTGGTTTTCAGGTATGACTTTGTGGAAGTGGAAGATGTATCAGAGACCAGCACAGTTATACGAGGACGGTGGTGTGGACACAAGGAAATACCTCCAAGAATAACATCAAGAACAAATCACATAAAGATAACCTTCAAATCTGATGACTATTTTGTGGCTAAACCTGGATTCAAGATATGCTACTCCCTTGTGGTAAGTCACCTAGGTGTGGCAGGGGTGAGAGACAGATTGCAGTGTACATGAGAATCAGAACTTAGACTGGATGGTGTGACTAACTGCATGGGATCAAAACAGTAAATGACTTAAAGTATTTTCATTACAGCAACTGTATTAATACAGATGAAAGTATTTTTGACATCCTGTCATTAAATATAAAACAAAGTCAAGTTCAGTTCAAGATTTACTCTAATAACATGTTTCAGAAGCACTAACATGTTCTACACTGAGGCTGCACTGCCAGTGCCTTGAGAGATGCTGCAGAAATAGCAAAGAAATGGCTGCTCTATGAACTCCTTTTTTGTGTTCATTTGAGGTCAAATAAAAGTACACTGAGGGGTTATGGCTATGATTCTCAGTTAGAGTAGTTTATTCTGCATGCAAAAAAATTGTACATGCAAGACAATGTGCTAAGGCTCAGGCTGTATTTTTAACCAGATATAAACACACCTCTTTGTATATGCAGAAGCATTAGCAGTGTATTGTACTGTTTCAATGAGACAAAAACATCCTCCTTTTTTTTTTGTATTTTGGTTTTGTTTTTAGGGAGCAGGAATGATCATTGCTCTAAGTAGATTTTGATACAAATATATATTCCTTTGTATTGTCCTGATTAATATTATAATGCTTTTGGTGCAGTGTAGCTCGAAAGAGACAGATTTTGCAAACACTCAGGAAATGGTAAGCATTAATTTATTATACTGTCATCATTTTATTTTCATATCCATCCCATTTCTTATCCCTTTTTATTCAATCCACTGTCATTTAACAAGAATAAGAAAGCCTGGAATAGCAATAATGCTGTAACAGGAGAGATCCACTGTTTGAGTCATTTCACTTCAACCTCTTGGCTTTGCATGCATGTGTGCCTAAGTGTGCTAAAAAGAGTCCATAAACAGCACATTCTCAAGACAGAGTAAAAGTATGAAGATTGTGCTCCCTTACATTTAAATTGTTAGGCTTCTAGTGGAGTAAGGTATGACACTGTAAGTAAATCCTGAGCTCTAATTTACTCTAATTTAAAGGCAATCTACTAATACTCAAATTCAGACAGAACAGGCTATGAAAGACCACTGGGCATAAAAATGAGACAGTGAAGCAGCAGCCTCTCCTTATACTGCTTGCATTTCAGAGCAGCCACAGAAACTGCTGCATTTAGCGAGTTTAATTCCAAACTGTGTGCAGGTAGTCTGATAGTCAGACAGGCTTTCAAGAAAGTGAATATTATCACTCATAAGACACAGGACTTTCTGCACTAGAAAGCTCAGAAAAGGCTACTGTATTTATCTAATTTCAAAACTATGAGTAAACAGAGAATTTTTCAGTCTAGCATATCTATTTACAAGAATAATCTCCATGTGCACTCTCTGAATGAAATACTATTTTATTTCTGAGAAGAGCACTGTACAGGTGATTAGTGGTACTTGCAAGATGGGGAATGATATGTACTTAACTGGTCTTCAGAATCCAAATGGTCCAACCTAAAAGTGCAGGATTAATATTCAGCAGAGTCAGCCCTTATTCGATAGTCCCCATAGTCACTTAGAGCTCAGTTCATAGATGTGCTGAGCACTGCTGACCCCTGAAGGTTGAACTCACTGTGTGTTTCTAGACAGTAAACCAAGAAGCATTAATGAAGCATGCAAAAACATATGGTATTTTGTATGAGATGAAATGAAGGACCTTTACGTTGCTTTTTTTTTCTTTCTTAATAACCTTCTCTGAGACAGAGTTACTTCTGAGGGATTTCTTGAAAAATGATGCTCAAAATATGTGCAAATCTTTTACTCCCTTGTTTTTCTTATATTTGGAGTTTGGATCTGCATGGCAGTTGTTTATTTGTATACTAGACTCTGATAATTTTCCAGAGAAAATGAAATCAAGCGATTTGGAATTTATTGATCAGCTGCATCTCCTGTGCATGGTGCCAGAATGACTGGGTGAATTTCTCCAAGCAACCTCACAGCCTGGCTCACTGGCCTCTCATTTATAAATCTTCAAGGAAGTCAGTTAAGTTCACTACATTTGATGCAGATCAAGTTTTTACTTAGTTCAGCACTCTGCATGAGGCACAAATGAGGCAGCACAGACCTTAGCAGAAACACCCTTCATTATCTTTGTGTACTTGTATTAACTTCACATTTCAGTACCATTTAGAGAAAGAAAAGGGGATTATTTTTCTAAAAAAGACATAAATTAGACTTGTATCACTTGTATCACATTTGCCTTTGTGAAACAAGCTATGGAAAGTAAGCAACCCATGAAAGGGCTCGATCGCTCAGGACAGTGGGATTACAACTCTGAGTGACTCTGGAAAATTAGTCTAAAAAAAATACAAGGATGATCTTTAGCAGTATAAGGTTGAAAAATGTATGCATGCATATGAGTCATTAACTGTCCCAATATAAGATAGAGGACAAAGGACAATGAGAGCAAATCTGTGAAATAAAGTCTGACCACCTGAACATAGCATTTAGCAACTTTGGCTTGCCAAGGCTGGCTCGCTCCACCTTCTTCCTCCTCCTCTTCCCTCATCCTCTGCCTCTTGGCACCTCCACCTCTGCCCTCCCCTCTGTGGGTCTGAGGGACTAGGAAGTCTGGAGGGGGAACAGTGATGATGGTTTTGGAGACAAGAGGCAGGTCCAACATGCTGCTACCTGCTGCCTGTCCCTGATCTGCTCTTTGCTCATGAAGTTCTTCACTCCCTGGAGTGGGAGATTTAGGGTGGATCTGACATCAGGAGTTTATTAGTGTGTTGAGTGCAACCCAGTGCCCACTGCTGATCCTAAGTTCCATAAGAGTCAAAAGTGTCCCTGTATGGAAAAAGTCACTCTTCTGTGCTATGTGTGACGTTGCCAGAGGAGGTAGGTATGCACAGCTGGTGACTGGTCTCCACAGACACTTCACATTCAAAGCCTCCAGTTGTAGCTGTGCAGTTGGCTGGCTTAGCCTGCATATCTGCACAGAGAAATGTTTCCCTTGAAACATTTCCTCTTTAAAAATTGCCTCTTTCTTTAAACTTCACAGACCTAAAGCAGAAAGGGTCTGGAGCAAGCCCTGGACAGCTATTAGTCATGAGCCTCACTTGACTCCAAATTTGTTTGAAATTCCTCCCTGCCATTATCACTTAAAGCCCTTATTTCTTGGTATTTTTTCATGCTTTTCTTGATTGAGTTGCCTTAGAAACTCAATTTGTAGTATAGAAGGCATTGAGTTATTCCAGTATTTTTACCTCACTCATTATATAATTTCTTACTCTAAGGACATAGTCATTCACAACAGTGTAGAAATACATGAAACAGAGGAAGATAAATAATCATTTTATATAATTTCCTTTTTCCTTCTGAAGTCAAGTTCTTCCAATGTCATTATTCTAGAACGGAATGTTAACAAGATTGGATCCCATGTTTTACAACCTCGTTAGCATGGACATTTACTGAAACAGTCTAGGAACTCATTCAGGACCATGTTCCAACATTAAAGGTGAATGTTTGGAATTAAAATTCCCAATTCTGCCATCTAATTACATTTTACTGAGACAGTTAGAAAATCTTGGATTCCATTTGCTATTTACAAACATTATTTTAAGCTTATTGTAAAAGGCACATTTTTTTTATATCTTTATAACAGTAAATTGCTATTGCCTTACTAATTGTTTGGTTAATCCTAAATGAAATCCATATTTTGGAACTTTGGCTAAAATCATTATTGTAAAGAAGGGCTACAAACAAGGAACTTATGTATATGTATTTGCATAAACCTGCATTTATATAAAGATGTAAGGTTAAAAAATATATTTACCTGTACATCTTTTTACATATATATATGCATATATATATATATATATATACACACACACGTATATATGTGCTTTTACCTTCCTTTTCTTTTTGATACAATTCATGACTAGGAAGCATCACGTGGCATTAAGGAAAATCTTATTTGCAAACTTATTTTGGAATTGTAAACAAACAGTGGTGGACAAGTGGTACTAAACAGGAGAACATAAGTGCATTTGTCCCAGGATAAACTTACGTGTCAAAATGTGTATCAGTGTGTTAAATCCTGAGTAATTTTGTCTTGTTTGAATTGACTTTTTTTTTTTTAATTAAGGAACTATAACCAAATTAGTGGAATGGAGGAGGGGGGAACTTCAGGTTTTGATCCATCCTGTGGAATTTTACAGAGAAATAGCTTTCCGCTGAACATGCAGGCTGTAGGACACCACTCTTGTGATCAAAAAAGGAGCATTGGTAACAAAGTGGGATAAGAGACCACAGTTAATCTAATAAAATTTAATTACTTTCCCATGCAAAGAATATTGACCAGTCAAAGTTAGCTCAAATTCTAAACTAACAATAACAATTCTAAACTCACAATAAAACAAACAAAATTGGAAGAAGAATCAGAAAATGAAAATGGGCTAAATAAGAACCTGATCCTGATACTTGTACTCACTGACATCACTCTGAATTAAGGCTCCCCATATTTTTCTACTTTTGTTTACACAAGTAGTGCAGCAGCAGGCTTCAGGGTTTTTTTAAATAAGTCAATAAATAAACACCCTTGTAAGAGTTAGCATGATCATGAAGATTCAACCACCATTGTGAGTACAGATTCATAAAGATCATAAGAAATGTTTAATTCTAAGCTGAATCCAGTCTGGAAGCTTCATGAGTCTTTGCTGCTGTGTTTCTGGTTTATCTTGTCACCTCTTTCACAGAATAGATAGGTAATTCATTTCTATATCCAAGACAAAATATTCTGCCTGAAACCCTGTATAATATATCTCATGTGACAGGAGAAGTGATAATGGTGCATGAATACCTTCCCTGCTGTTAGATAATCCACAGAAAGAATCTCCTTAAATTGCTTGGGGTAAAAAAGGAAAGGAATGGGGTGGAGGGGAATGTCTTGGTTAATAAAGTGGTTGAATATGAAATAGATCTCAGAATGTAGAAGCAAGAATTTACACATGGATGTTTTCTTAGTTCAGCTGCTACTTTCTCTGATTTCAGTTTTGATTGCCTACCTATGCTAGAACAGCAAAGATTTTTTATAAATACAACTCATGTGCAAAACTCGTGACAATCTATATGATGAAACTTCTTTTTTCTTAAGTTTGGGTAGAAAACTATTATCTGTGGTTTGCTCGAGACATACCATCCTCGTAAAATTATCAACCAGAGGCTCATCTTTCAGGAAAGAAGTAATTAAGTCCTAGTTTTCAATTAGATAAAACTTGCTCAAAATCTTTAACATTCTTTCCCCAACTTTACATAAGCAGAGAATTTAGGAGATTATGTATGTACAATTTTATTCTATTTTTTTTTACTTTGAAAGGTGTTAAAACTTTTTAAAAGCAACATAAAATGACAGTGTGTTAAAAAGATAGATTATGTCTCAGTGCATCTTGAGTCATGGAGCATCTTCAGTAATTTATATGGGGAGGGGAAATGCTTTCCATTTAATGAGGATTCCTGAGAATCTAGCAATCCTCAATCTGCTGCTTAATTCGTAGGCCCTAACCTGTCCTTCAGCAAGATTTGAGGAAGAAAAGAAGGTGGTGTGGTAGACAAATGAAGCAGTGTGGTAGGCAGGGACACTGGTTATCCCAGCACTCAGAGCAGAACAAAATATAGTGAAGGACAAAAAGAAAGCAAAAATGGGAGTCAGATAGC